ATAAAAACCCATACATAATTTGGACACAAAATTCTGATTGGTTGATTGAATTTCACGTATGTGTATCAAATTCACGCACAAGTGTATCATTACATGAATTCATTTTTGGATTTCTCAAAGCATCAAAGAACTGTAACTCCGATAGTAAATTTAAAAGAAGTAACTATGTAATGAACGTCACAATTACTTATTTCCGTGAATATGAAATATAATTAGTCTGGGTAACTTTGTTTCTTATAAAAAGGCAGCGATTTCAATTTACTCTAATCAATAATTAAATTCACAAATAAAATTCTATCTCACAGATAAAATTCTATCCTTCACAAATAAAACCCTATCTTCACAAATAAAACTCCATCTTTACAAAGAAATCATGAAGTTTATTTTTGCTTTCCTTTTATTGGCTACGCTCTCCATGGTGGTCAATGCTATTCCACATCAACTTCTTAAAAGAACTACTGTCTTTAGTCAATGCCCTCCTGTAAAATCTGGAGAAGCACCACCACCTCTACTCAGTGTCATACTTTCACCTGATCCTGTCGCTCCTGGACAACCTGATAGTGTTGCTATTTCTGGAACACTAAGTCGTCCTGTCATCGATGGCGACATTACTGCTGTTGGATTTATTGATCTTGTAGCTAAGACTCCAATAGGTGATCCAGCTACTGCGCCAACCGACCCTAAAACACCATTTTCTCAAGTATTGAATGTTGATGTGCCAGCAAAATTACCTGCTACATACATTATTTTAGCTGGTGTTGGGAATCCAAAAACACAGGAAGTTATAGGCTGTGCATTTAGTGTTGTTGGTGGTTCTGCTGAATCTGTAGATCTTGACTCTTATCCCATCCCATTATTATAAATTATTAAAAATAATAAAAATCAAAATAGAATAATTTAATTGTTAATTATTATTATTTATTAAACAACGTTCTTAGAACGGATTCTATTAATTTAATATTATTATTTATTATTTTACGTATTATATTATTTAATATTGTCATTAATTTTTATATTTACATGTTGCTTTAAATAAAAACAAATTCAAATTTATGAAATTTTTATTCACTAGTACTAGTACTAGAACACCTAGGTAAAAAATATGGCAGTATCCTTTGGCACAACCACGCCACAACGAATGCAAAAAACAACCCCGACAGTATTCTGACTAATATCTAGGTTGGCAACATCACCTATTGTTTCATTGCAGATTTCTTTGTCTATGACCAACTATGTTTGTTATATTCTAATTTTGATGTTGATTATATTGGCTTAATTTTCAATTTAAAATATTGTTGGTCGCCAAAACTATTTTGAAGGGGGCGAAAGTCAAGCTAAAATTGAAAGTTATGTCAAAACTAGTTTCAACTTGTGGCGAAACCTTTTGACTTTCACACAGTTGAAAAACTCTCTAGTTTCCATGTAAAAATATACACGTAATTACAGCATTATTAAGGTGAGAAATTGACCCTTATATTTTCAAAATAAATAATGTTCAGATGCTTGAAGAAAAGAGAAAATTACCTATGAAGTTTACCAAAGAAAAAGAATGCAGGCAAAATCTTATGATTACATGATTGGGAAGTTTCTTTTCAAGTAATATCAAAGTTATACGTAGCCAAATTATCTTGTGAAACTTTGTTATGCAATGTAAATAGTGATACATATTAATGTAAACTCGATAAGTCGGTCATGTGGGGGTGAGCTCATATGGCCGACCTATGGAGTAAACCGACTTATCAAGTTTACATATGTATGCTTAAAAAATTTTGGTAATTTTGATCAGAGGAAAGAAAATCTCATGGTCAATTGAAAAAAAAATTTATTAATAAAACAAATAACAATATAATACGTGAATAATCTTATCTACAAATTCAACAAGCTGGATAATTGATTCACATGTTAACTGAAATTTCATATAACTACTGTTGGCTCAATATTATCTTCAAAACTGATATTAAATCTGTATGGAAAACATCATATTTATTACAAAATATTTTTTAATTTATTATCAATCCAGCGAAAACCAACAGGTTTCATTTTAATCCCATTTCTTTGAAGCAGTAGTTTTTATTTTTGGTGAATCGACTCCCTCTCATCTTAAAGATCAATATTTTCTAATGGAGTACATATGAAGTTGTCAATAAAATAAATATACTGTATATAATTCATTTTTGAAATTTCATGTACATGAGTGGAGAATATACAGATCATTTAAAAATCGTGTTATTTATCATTAATATTAATAAATCTTTTGTATAAAGATTCTGTGTAAAAAATATGCTTATTTCTTCGAATTACTGGCAGATTTTGCCAATCTACGTATTTTAACATCCCAATTATATATACGTGCAGTATCTTTTTTTGTGATAGTAAAGGAGATGTTAAAGAATAATGACAGTAATTATATATTATATGATTTTAATTTTGATTTTTTGATTTAGAAGGATACTGACTTCAATTGTGGTAACTTGTTCTCTAAGAAACTCTAAATCTTCCGATAAATTTTTTAAAGAATTTTCTGCTGTTAATAATTTACTTTTTATAAGTTCTTTTGCTTCTTGCAATGAATACTCGAGCATTACATTTGCCTTAAATATATGTGTGTGTGTTAAATTTATATAAATGTAAAAATGAAATAATATATTATTACTTACACCAAGCCATAAATTAACAAATTTTGTAGATTTAACTTTTGCCGGTATCCATAAAGTGTCATTTAATTCAAATGTGGTTTCCATTGATTCATCAGAATTCTACAATATACATTTTACAATTATTAAATCAAAATAATTTTTTTGATAAAATATGAAAGCTTGGTTGATTGATTTGCCTGTTTTTCCATCAAGAATTCCACTGTTTCAAGAGTTTTCTTAATTTCAAGTATTCTTAATTCCAATCCTTGTTTTTTATTAATATAATTTATTTCCATAAATTTATATTTACTGTTAAAAAAACTAAATGTTAAAATATTATTATTTTATGAAATAAGCCTCCAACCAAAAAAACCAACTTACGATACAGTTTCTTGTAATTTAGCTAATATAACTTCAGTAGATGTAGAAGGCTTTGACATAAATTCTTCGACATTTTCCTTTTTTTTCAAAAATTATCGCTTTTGAAAAGGATAATATAATAATAATAAACATTTTTATATATATATACATATTAAATTACCACAAATTGGATTTTAGGAATTCCACGAGGATTAGTCTCGAGCGTTTCAAATGTTAGACTACTACTACTATCACCGCCACTAGTACTAGTAGTTAATGACATTTTGCGAAAAACAAAGAATTAACAAAATCACTGATCGATCTGAAGATTATGTCACACTTACTAATAATGATGTCATATCGCGCATTTAGACATGGCCACCACCAATGTAATAAGTAAACCTCCGTCAAAGATGATCCTTGGCTCAAGTTTTGGGCTAATCTTGTCGGTTGATCGCAAAAAAATACATAATGATTCAGTGTTGTCAATTAATCTACCACTTTACTTTAGTTCTTGCTTACTGCCTCTTTCTTGTACCTAAAAAGTTTCAGTAAATCTGTAAGCACACTTGATGGTATCAGATAACTGTAAATAAATTCTTTTTATTTACTTGTAACCAATCTATTTGGCCGATTGCAAACTCGCTTTGGTTTATTTACAAGCAACTTAAGCAGTTCGTTTAACAATAACGCCGCCAATATTTCCAGTTAACCTTTGGACAATACTTTACTAAAGCGAATAACGTTACTAATCGTTGTTGTTAACCAACGTTTAGTTCTAACAAATAAACGCGACCTTTTACCAAAGCGCTTCGCTTTAAAGTTCATTTACGATTTTAAGGATAATTTTTACAGAGTTTTATTTTATTAGAATTTCAATTATCAAACGAGAACCCGAAAAAGTTAATACCTTTTATGGTTATTGTGTTTATATATAGAGAAAATCAAAGTTAAAGTGGAAAGCAGGCAGTAGTTTTTTTGGAAGTATATAGAAAGGGGTGCAAAAAATAAATCATCATTCCTTTGAAAGTTTAAATAAAACACGAGAAAATTATCTTGATCTTGAAAAGTTTTGTTAAAAAATGTCTTCCTTAATTTTTCTTGCCATTCATTTTTTGATTTTTCGTGTACTAACAACCTCCTTATTACTATGTACTGGTTTCTTTAGTCAAAAACTTCTTTTGCTAATTTTCAAAGTAAAATTTCCTATGGGCAGGCATTCCTTCTTGTTATTTTGTTTCATTATTTTCATCGTTTCTTGTTTATTTCAAACTTAGTTCTTTCAATCCTCTTTGTAAGAGTTAATTCTTCTTTGTTTTTCTCTTGTCTGACTCTCTTTCTCTCGGTAACAAATAAACTTTGGCCGATGCCCTTTTGAATCCATTTTAATTCCTACGTTGGATCTTCTTCAATATTTTTTTAATCTTTCCTTTCTTTGGGCTCCAAGTTTTGTTTAATTGTCGTCTTCTCTTTCCCACATTGTCTATCGAAAATAACCGTGTAGTCTGTAATTGGCGATTTTGGTAGGTTTCTATGATGTTTCCATGATCCTGAAAACATTTTCTGTTTTTAATGATTTTTCAATTATCAAAATCATTTCTTCATATCATCATACATTTACTCATCATTACCCGCTACATCTTTCTTTTTATCAATTTCATCAATACTAAATTCTTTCTCAAATAAATTCTTATGAATTTCGGTTAAAGATTAATTAATGAATAATCATAATGATCTAAATAATAAAGTGTTAAAGTAAGTTAAAATTAATTACAATACAATAAATAGACAAATAAATTCTTTTTTTTTTTGGCTCCGTACATCATGAATTTCACAATGTATCATTTTTATTTCAAGGGAAAATTGGAATTTATGATTTGCTTTAATGGGCATTAATAGTAGATTTTACTATTATCACATAAGAAACGCATTGTGTAGATCTTGACTTTTCATATAAAATTTCTCTGTCATTATTATTTATTAGCATTGAATTTCAATTATTATTTAATTAAGAGATAAAGCATCGGCATATGGTAAAGCAATTATGTCTCCAAGTGCCACAGTAGTAGGTTTACTTGACAAAATTTCATTAGCAATCTATATTAACATATTTTCAATAGAAAAAAAAGAATTAGTTAATTATCAAAAAAACCATCAATGATTTAATTAAAGATTTGGATTTCCAAATATACTTTAGTAACATCAGATGATTTGATATGATCATATCCTGACACTGCTTCGGAAGCAGAAGTGATTTTTGCAGAAGACAAAATCTAGTAAGATAAAAACATAATATTAGTGGTGGTGGTGGTGGTGACAATAACAAAACACAAACAACAACAACAATACCTGATTGCCCAAGGTTTCAGTTTTAGAATAACGTGCATCATAAGAAGCTGCAGTGTTATATTTTGCTTTTGCAATTGCTCGTTTGAATTCCTCTATATCAACACCTTTTGCAACATGTTGTAATTGTTCGACTGTAGCATCAACAGCTGAACGTATCGATGTTGGTTTACCTGAGAAATATACACCAAAAATACCTGCGTCTGAATAACCAGTATTGAAAGCACTGATTTTGGTATCAACAAATTTATTTGCTGTTTGAGCAAGTTTAGTAACACCTTCACCCCACTTTGTATATTTATCTCCATCTAGTAGCGATCTAAGAATCTGAAGAGTATAAAAATCAGATGTTCCCCCTGGTGCTCCCTCGAATGCAAGCACAAAATGGCTTGTATCATTTCCACTAGACAATCTAACCTCGCCTCCAAAATATTTGGAATTGATTGGTGTGGCTGGTAATGTATGATTTATATCTTTAAAAAGATTTTCTGTTAAAGTTTCCAACTCATTATGATCAACACCAGTACCAATAATAGTGATATTCGGAGCTGTATAGACTTTGTTGGCATAAGCTATGACATCTTCGCTACTTTTAATCTTTGTGGTAGAATTTGCAAAAAGTGAATTGCCAAGTCCATTACGAAATGCTACTTCATGTGTTGTTTCTAAAGTCAAAATTTCTGGGGTTGATTCGGCTGTACTTCTTTCAAAAGCAACACTTTGTTTCACTTCTTTAAATTCATGTGGTTCATATTTTGCATTGAACACAACATCAGATAATACACCTAAAAAATAGTCTCTATAATAACAAAATGAGAAAGATGATGATAATAATAATAATAAATAAAATTTAAGACATACAGATTATTTGGTAAAAATTCAGCAGTAAGAATTAAATTTTCTCTTGTTAAATTGGCTGTTAATACACCGCCAAGTAGTTCTGTTTCACGTGTTGTGCGAAAAGCAGTTTTATTTGTGGTGTTCTATATCATTTGAATAAATTCAATGATTAATAGATATTTGTATATACAATTTCAATTATTCATTCACTCTAACCTTAAAAGCAAAATTCTTCAAAAAATGTGCAGCTCCAATATTATTAATAGTCTCATAACGAGGACCAGCCTTTGCAACTAACGAAATAGAAGAAGCTGGTGCACCATCTTTATTGAAATACGTACGTACATACATAAATACATGCACATATATATGGTTTAATATATCATATATACAATGTGCATTATTATATGTTGTCTTCTTCACCTTGAATAGAAACTGTCGTTATTCCATTTTTTGACTTTGAAACTGAAATTGGAGAAGCTGCAACACTAGCATATTTACGATTTATTAACAAGCTGTTAATAGGAGAATAAAGTTTATTACTTGACAATTTACAAGCACGGAACATTATTTTAAAAAGTGAATTTTTTTGTTACACGAATTCTGAAATCACACTAATTCAGTAATTAGTCAATGAGTATGTAAAATCCTTTAAGTTTAGGCTACTTTTAAAGCTCTATGAATTAAAAGGATAGTTAGTTAACTTACCTTCAGACTTAAAAACTTGTACTCTTTTTTTATGTTGTAAAATAAAAATATTCTATGAAAAAAATTTTTGTTACACGAATTTCAATCTTTTCTAAATTGTTACAAAGTATGTTGCACTGATTTGGTTGAGTTGTATATACAGTATATATTCTTTCGTTAAAATAATATATATTAATAATATTAATATTGTTTGTTTAGCACTTCTTTGAGAGCGTTTTGTTCAATTTATTTTTAAAGAAAATTTCATGTAAAACTTCAAAGTTCAAGTAAAGATTTTTTACTAACGATATTAAAAGCATCATAGCCATAATAAATAAAATCACAAAAATGCTTGCCTTCGCAAGTGAATTGTGATCGGACCATCCTTTAGCTTTTTACTTCTATATTACTGACCCATAAAAATCAGCTCCACAAAGGATTAAGAAATGAATGAATCGCATCACCCAAATATTCAATCATCCCTTAAAGAAAGAAAGACCGTTCAGCAATGGAATCGATTTTGAAAAAGACCTGAACGTCGTTTGCTTCAAAACTTTTGAAACGTTTTTACTGTGTGAGGGTTGGTGAGTGGTTTGATGTGGATTTGTTTTAATCCGAACTTTCCGTGCTTTCCGTATAGGACAAAGGGTTCCATCATCTTGTTATCCAAGTGGTAGCGGAAAAGTTTAGTGGTTAAGCCTCCCTCTTATTGGGCCTCTGTGGTCCCCTTTTCGATCGCAAGCTACTTAAAAATCATTTCCAAAATAAAAAATGAATAATACTAAATCTGATATGTTGAGCTTTAGATGTCAGATTTAACATTCCTATCTTGTTGATCCCTAACTTCC